GGATTGCCTGAGCCCGCGGGTTCGAGATCCGCCTGGGCAGCGAGACTTCATCTCTACAATAAATCAAAAAATCAGCCGGGCGTGGTAGCGCAAGCCTGTAATTCTGGCTACTCGGAAGCCTGAGGCAGAAGGATCGCTGAAGCCCAGCAGGCGAGGCTGCGGTGGCCGGGAGTGGCCACTGCACTCCAGTCTGGGCAACAGAGTGAGACTCCAACTCAAAAAAAAACCAACAAAAAACAAAAAACAACAACAACAAAACAAATGAAAAAATAGATATTTGATTCCTAAATATACAATAGGCTGTCTTTGAAAAAAAAAAAAACTGATAAAAGAAAGTGGAAATTTTATTTAAATTGAGATTCTGGTGCCTGCTTTGCTAACCTAAAGAATTACTGAAGGTTATACTGAAATGGACTAGCAATTCTGCAATGGGGTCACAAGAGAATGGTCGATATCACTAGGAAAAGTCTCAAATCTCTTTCCACTCATTCTGCCATTACAGAGAAATTTGTATCCATGGAAACCACAATCTCTAGCATGGAAATGTACATATGACACCAAAAAGGATAAGAATGTTTTGGGAAATAGAAAAAGACTAAAGAAATAATGCTGCCAGTAATTAAAATTCATAATTTTAACCAAAACTCTGCAGAACATATTAGTCAATTTACATGTAGAGTAGATGTTTAAAGAGATGAAAGATGAGGGAGAGATATTTTTGGTGCATGAAATAAGAGAAAGAGGCATTGATTGGGGTACTTGGTTGTGTTGAGCAAACTGTTAGTAGTTAGTAGGAAGGGGTGGGTGAAAAGAGACTAGCCCAGGGGTGGGTGAAAAGAGACTACCTTAAAAGTGAAGACTTAGGAAGCCATTGAAGTCACTTTCCCCATTATCACACAATAGTCTTTTTAACCTCTCATTATTTGAGGAGCATTAATTATTGGGTTTAAGTGTCCAAATTGAGTGCTTAATCATATAGTTATAATTTTAGCCACCTTACTAAAGCATGACTTAAAAACTGACCTCCTTTGAAGTTAAGTGTGTCAAGAATACCAGACTGTAAAAATGGACCTCTCTGTAGCTATTGAGGACCTTTCCCCTCAAGGGATTTTATGGGGAACATGTATGTTAAGTTGGTACAAAATTAAGAGATTTTCAGAGGTCAGAAGGCACACTCATGAATGTGAAGACTATGTTGTATTTTCTAATATATTTATAGTTTGCACTCATAAGAAAAACAGAAATCAACAATTAACAAGTTAGTTTAAAAATTTGATGTTTGAAGTTTCTTTTTTTCTTATTCAAGATTTATCCAGAAATTCCCTTAGAAAGAAACTTTACTAATAATTTCCATTTGTGATAAATAAAAGGAGACAATGTATACTTTTCACCTTTCATGTTTGGTAAAAAACCTTCCAATTTTCCTGATTAAAAGAAGAATCTTTAGTGGATTATGATTTCATGAATATTTTCCAAGTTATTATTCTAATTCCAGTCTAACATTTGGCAGTGATGCTGATAGCTAGCCAGGAATGAAACTTCCTTGCAGCTGGTATAAACCCTCTCCTTTCGCTCAAGAAATTTTTTTTTCCTATGGAAATTAACATAAATTAATTTCATTAAAAGAGAAAGGTGAGTGTGAATTCTGGTCAGCAGGATTAAGCAAAGGTATTATCAGAGGAAACGCCAGTCTCTGAGATGTAATTTCAAAATATGCATAGATAATCACCAAATTATCAATCTCATTAAGGAATTTCTGGCATTCCTTGTAGAACAAAGATCTAAAAAATGCTCACTAGAGTCATACATATTAATTATATTTGTTTAACTATACTTCATAATAAAAAATTGCTAATATTATTGTTGATAGATTTTCTTGTGTAAAGGCATTTATATTATCAGCAGGTTTAAATCAAACTAAATCTTAAAATTTTGTCCACTGCAGGAATTTACTCAGGTGGACGGATGTCTTTTTTCAGTTCAATTTAAGTTTAATTATGCTTAGAGTTAAGCTGAAAATCTGCTTATATTAAAGAGGAGAGCTTGTTCACATCTCACAGTAAGGAGTCATTTTTATTGAAAAGATGGAGGTTATTTAGTAATTGTATAACTTCATGTTATTTATGTTCTTTTGGTATCCAATACTGTATTCTAAATTACAACATGACAAAGGATGATGTTGTGTCAACTGGACATTAGATTTTCTTTTTTGTTTTTATTTTTTTAAAAAATATTTTATTTTAAATATGTGGGGTACAATTCAGGGTTAGGTATACAAATGTTCATTATTCAGGTACCCATGTTGGTGAGGTGTGACCATGCCCTTCCCCTAGCAGTAGATTTTCTAAATGAGATTGTTATGATTCTTGTGCATGTGACTTTAGAAGCTAAGTTATACAGTTAGTGGTTTGGTAATCTTTAAAAAAACCTCTTTTCCAACTAAATTATTAATTTATACCTCTACCTGAGAGAAGGATATATCATAGATGTCACTTTTGCAACATCTACAGTTAGAGCCAAAAAAATGTTGGTAGTATTTCAATAAGAAAAATTCTAGATGCCTCGATTCTCTTCTTCACTGCCTTTTATTTTAGGAAGTCGACTTTGTCCAGAATAGTTATTGTGGACCAGTCTATCGTGAAAGACAGGAAAGAGTTAATTGCCTTTATCTACTAGGAAGTTTTACACTCAGCCCAGGCAATTCAGCATATTGGGAGAATGAAATAATTTATTATAACAAAAGAAAGTTAGCATTTCCCCTGTAATAAATAACATCCAATTAAATAGACCCTCCTTTTCTGATACCTTATTCCTGAAGATACCATATATATCACATTCTCCACATTTATGTGCTCTTATGTTTCATGCATCCTTTCACCCAAACTGGCCCTCCTAATACAACTGGTGTTGTGTGTATAAAAATTATCTCATCAATCTAAGTTGTTGAAACAACTCATCAATGACAATGTTTTACAAATGAGAAGTTATAATTATAGTATTATTATAATAAAGTAGAATAAAAATGTTAAAAAGGAAAACTGTGAAGGGGAACTTTATGAGTGAGAAAAAGCAAAGCCAAAACCTAACTCTTCCAAAAAGTTTTTGGAAAGCCCAGTGCAAAAAGTCAACTTTGAGAGACAAAGGGGGAGAGACAGCGAGAGAGACAGCAGTGCGCTAAACTCTGAAACCATTGTGAAGTTCATTATGAACTTAACTAGGGAGAAGCACATTGATTGGAGTTATAAAATGACCCCAATGACTTTTATTTAAAAGAATGTTATTAAAATCACTCCAGCTTCATTGCCATGAACTCTGCTTCATAGTTCAATGGTACAATTCACATAGTTATATTTTATTCAATGCCAAAAGGTTTTTCAAACTGGCCTTTGCCTTTTAATTACAAATGAAAGCTGATACAAATGGATTTTTAGGGTCATGCAGATCTTCTTACACTTGTTATTATAACTCACTTTGGGAAATGGTCTGGTGTCTCATTTCCCCAGAGGGTAATAACTCTTCGTTCACGTATGTATTCCAAGGGACCCAACACTGAAAAGTGCAGAACTGCCTATCACAATGGGACCCAAAAGGTGCATCTATGGCAACAAAACTCATTATAACTTTTATAATGTTAATAATGCATTTCATTAATAACCAAGATTGACCTTCAAAATCTAGCAAGTAGCTTGTCTGTTTAAACTTGATCAGCTTATGTTGGATGTTAGACTAATCAGTTGACAATGAGTATAGCTATCTAAAGACTGAAAATGTTTTTCCTATGACAGGAATCATACATTTCTGCCAGGGTAGACACCAGATTAGATCAAGTTTAAAAAAAAAGTATGAGGATTAAGTGGAAAATACATTATAAAGTCTTTTGTTTTCATTAAAAATCAAGAGCTCGTGTGTTTTAATTAAAATAAAAAGAGTAAGTGAACTTGAACCAGGACTCACCTCCATTTCCTGTGTTCATTTGGTAATGTGTATAGGATAATACCCATGATGAGAAAGACTGACTGACATCTGAAGTTTTCATTCTTTCAAGAAGCACATATTAACTACTAAGTGCTGAGCATACAGTGACGACAATGACACAATCCCACATATATGTTGCTTATGTTGATTCAGCCCCAAATAGTTTGTGAGTTGTGAGTTAAACTCCAAAACTTAGTGAAACTATAGAATTAATCAAGTGTAAAATAAAGCAGTGTGTTTAGCCAGGATTTTGTAATATAGGCACTAGAGGAGAATAGTGGTTTCAGTAGATTTGTCTTCCTCTAAATTCACTCATGACTTGCACTGGATGAATTTTTTTCTTTGCTGAGCCTCGTCTGACAGCTGCACAGGTTTCCTCTGGCTTCTCTCTTTTAATCAAGGGTTTTTTTGCAGGAGCCTTCATTCGCCACATCACAACTGGGTGCCGGGGCCCAGCAGGACTCTGGATTCGGATGATCTTGGTAGAGGCAATGTAAGACATTTTCACTGTTTGCACTACTGCATTCATTAAATTTTTGGCTGCTTGGATCAGGGAGGTGACACTGTCCAACTATAGGGAAAAAAAGGAAAAAAGAGCTATTATTCAAGAATGCAATTAGGAGTATAAAGGGATTTAATGTTATAGAAGCTGAAAAGTTCTACTTTGCTTTTATCCCATAAATGAATGAGCTTAATCCTCATTTTATATATCTGTATATCATTATCTACATCAATCTATCTATAACATCTACATCAATCTATCTATAGATGATCATTTAATTATGCATAGATACATATTCTATTTATTATCTATAATCTCTAGGTGATATCTTAGAGAGATTAATTTCTTTCTCTTGATTTTCAGTAAACTCATATAAATTCATCAGTGCCCAATCCATATAGTACCATAAGGTTAGATAGTCACTACTTTCTTTGTAACAGATTTCCCAATTTCCAGGGAGTAATTCTGAGCCCTTTCTGTAAGATAAGACTATCTGCAATAAAATCTATAATTTTATAAGAACAACACATGAAAGTTTTTATTCTTAAGGAATATATAGTTTAAAATAAATATCATACTCATATGCCAGTATAGACAAGCATGTTTAGCACTCTCTTTCATGAATATTTTCCCAACAATCGCACCTAAAGGAGTTTATTTTTAACCCAGAAGTTTTATTATATCCTGAAGTACGTAAAAGTAGAGAGAGCCAAGGTTTTGCGATCAATTAACCAAGAAGTTAAAATTCTAGTTCTGCCATTTGGTAAGTTGGGGAACGCATTTAATTGTTTTGATCCTGGTTTCTTCAGCTATTAAATAGAAAAACATGTGTTTATTAAAGGTAAAGTAATACATGTAAAAAAGCTAGTAGGTTGGCTACTGAAAAGTTGATTTTCATAAAATAATTTTTCCCTTTTTTGCTATGAAGACTAACAAAATCGCTTAATGATGAAGATCATTAATAAAATTACTAAAATAAACTTTTTTCCACACAACTCTGATTTTGTTATATTTTCTGGGTTGTTCACAAAAACAATCTCAGGGAAAAAGGGAATGATATTCCTGGACTCTTGCAAAATACCTTAGAGCTAAGCCAAGTTGATTCATTTTTATACAACCAATGTCTCTTCCATTATTTTAGTTTGGCAGATTGTCATCCACAGCCAACTCATACAGAAAGATGTGTCTCTACTGTCACCCCTCTGTGATGTGTGTTGTCAGGTCTGAGACTCAAACATTGGCTCTTTAGTTCTTAAAATCTATCAGCAGCTGCCTGGGCTGAGTACTGTACCTTTGCTATTCAAGGAGTCTCTTCTCACATATAGAATAAATGAGAGAAGGAAAGGAGTAAGCTGAGGTTATATGCTTGGGGCAGTGGTCTAGCTGGCTGCTTCCTGGGAAGAAAATTTAATTAGCTCCATTATATGCCAAGTCTGAAATCCTTGAAAAGGTAATACCAAAAAATATGTAATTCAAAAGGCAATAATAGTACTTGGCAACTACACATCTTTAAGTCTTTTTTCTTATTGAAGCCAGAAATGTAAAATCTGTGCATGTGGCAGGAATGACAAATGTTTTACAAACATTAAAAAGAATTTCATGAATCACATGTATTCTGGAGGATACTTGAAGCTTCTGAATCTGCATAAAACTTCAAAAACTGCTAGGCTTTGAATATAATTACACACTGTTAATAAATTACTCTATAGAGAGATTGCAAGCTAAAAATCTGCTCTTTAACAAATTAACAATTTTCATTAGAAACCTCCTGGAGTCTAGTGAGACCCTGAAGGTGGTTTCCAATGCCACCATAGAACCAAGCAAGTTAGTTTAAACAGTGAAATAATAGGGAAAGTGTTGAGGGTCCTTGGTAATGAGATGGCATTCCTCAAACATGAAAATATTTGGTTATCTCAAGGTCTCTGCTCCATCATAGTCTTTCATGGAAGCAAATCCTAGAGACCTCCTGTCATTCAGGATTTCACCAGTTGCTTTGACCTTCCTACCCTAAAACTTACATTCACTTCTCTTTCTTTTGACTCTCATCTTATCATGTACAGATTGTATTTATTTCATCTTCTTTAGGTTTTTTTCGTATAATGATGTGGCAGGAAGGGGGTTGGTAGCAGCTAAAGATATTTCCTTTTGAAAGCCAAGAGGCAAGCTCTAAAGACCCACCAGGCTGGTTTTGTTTGAAAAGGTCAAATGGCCAGAGACTGATGGCTCTCATGGAAATGCAAAAGAGTAACTAATTCACAGACTTACCCCAACCCCTCTTTTGAAGTTGATGGTTTACAACCCTGCTTCCAGACCCTGCTGCCTTGCATTTCCTGAAGACCATTTGTTCTTTGAAAAATCTGATTTTGCTGAGTACAACCTTGTAAGATTCCAAAGAGAATGTGTAATTGCTCAACACGACTCCCTCCCTTTCCTAAGCAAGGGTATAAGACCCCTCTTCTTCTGTTTTGCAGGGCTCGATCTGAAAGCGTTAGCCCCATCAAGCTCACCAGGCCAGCTGGCGTAATAAAGTGCCACTTCCTATAATAGTTTCAGTGTCACGATCTCTCTGTCTTCCCGCTACATATCTGGTGCATCAGCCGGCAAATGGAGAGTTTGGAGATAGTGTGTTCCACCTCCTTTGTCATTGAGGTACAACCTCCAGGGCAATGGGAAGGGCAATCTCGCCTGGTGCACAATGGACCTTTTGATCCCTAGGAGGGAGGCCCCTCCCGGTGCACTGAAGCTCAGACCACAAAAGCACAACAGGAACCTAAGAGGCGAGGAACTGGCATAAGGATGACCACCTGACAGAAAGGACAGAAAGACCACCTGATGGAAAGGGTAGGAATAAGGGCTTTTGCATAGATCTGCCAATGGATGGCAGAAGGGGAGCTTGATCACCTCCCAGAGTCCGCTAGTAATCTCCAGCCTGAAGGAAAGGGCTGAAAGGCAGTGGAAGGAAACACTGTCTGAAGGTGAACCCATAGACTTCTAGGATTAGGATGGAGAGTTAAAGAATATGCTGTGTGATTGTGAGTGAATGAGATGGATGGCAGGAGGCTCCACATAAAGTTAGTCTGTGTTGGGAGTGTACCAACCTGCCAATTGCTAAGAGGTGTCTTAGATATCTTTGTGAAGAGTATGACTGGAGGGGGACAAAGTGGATGTTTCCCATACCCCTCATTCTCTTATTTGTGTGTGTCTGTCATTTTGAATCTGCTAAAAAGCTGGTTGAGTTATTATGCTTTGTTTAATGGGACATGTCGTCTTTTAAAACTTAATTGGCGGATGTTTCTTTATGTCACTTTATGTTTCCCTCCCTTGTGTGATGTTTCTCCCAACCCATTGGCGCTTTAAAATTTCTGCCTTTTGTTGTTAAGGTTGTGGAAAAATTGCCTGCTGTGTATATGAAGTGTTACCGGTTATCTTAAATTCTTTCTGGGGACCATGTCCCCTCCCTTCCCTAGCCTGTGTTCTCCTTCATAAATTCTGAAGGAGTTCATTGTGATCTACCTATAAAGAAACATAGAAATGTCTCTTATATGCTACTTAGCTTTTGCTAACTCAGTGCAAGTTCATGCTAGCCTTGGAGAAAATAATTTTGTAATCTTTCCCTGGTAACTAAGGGACTGAATAGGCTGTTCTTGTTTTCAAATGCTAAAAGTCAGGTTAGTTGAAAGTAAGTCTGTTTCTAAACGTTTAGGCCTTGCCTAAGATCGTAATCAACTGCTGGTCCCTGAAAACTGTTGGGAAGTCTCTTAGAGTCATGCAATGTTTGCTGAGTCCCTAATTTATGTTGTAATGCTAGATAACACTACTGTTTGTTTTTTTTTGGCTATGCCTGACTAGCACACCTCTCACAAGACTGGTAAAGCTTTAAATGCTGACTTTGCAGGACTTAATAAAGGATGGGAACTGGCCATTCCCACCTGATTAAGTCACCTTAGTAAACTTGGTACTTCATCTAAGGGACAGGTCAAGTACTAGGCACACTGTGGAGCACAGAGTGAGACCTAATCACTTTCATTTAATTGTCCACGTCTTACGACTAAGGCTGCTGTTTAGTAATTCATGAGAATTTTTGACAATTTTGTCTGTTCATCATTCAGAATAAGTAGAAACAGATCATTTTACATCTACGTGGTCTGTTCACTCTAAAAGATTTTGTACCAGGTCATTTTGTAGACATCATTGGAAAGTCATGGAGAAAAAAAAAAAATATGGCTTCAAGGAGGGCTGAGAACACTCAGCCTGGAAAAAGTCATCAGGGTCCTAGGAATTTCTGGCATTGCTGTTTATGGCTTTATTTAGTTATTTGTTTGTTTTAGAATTCTCTTTTGAGGAATAAATTGCAAATGTTCAGAGCAAATTCTGGCTTTTCAAAAAACGTGACCAAGAGAGTGTATAGTGGTCTGTGCCCTCAGACACCCCAATGGGACAGATTTTGAATGATTAGAGCAAATTAAAATTACATGGTTTAAAATTTAAAAATAATAATAAGTGCATTATTAAAAATCAAATTTGAACTCACTACAAGTTAGCAGATAATAAGATTTGGAAAGGAGCAAAACTATCTGGCAATTTAATTCACTTTGTAGACCAAATAATAATAATAATAATAATAAAACAAAATGGTCAAACGTCCTGTATGCAGAAGCATTTTAAAAATTTATTTCATTACTTTGCAAACAAGATTATATTCTATAGAATGCTAAGTACCAAACTCCAAAGACTTGACTCAGGACTATGAATACCAAACTCCCAATTATAGAAAGCCACTGAAGGTTTTAGAAACTGAAACATTAAGAAAAAAAGGAGGAGAAGAACTACAAAATGAGCACTAACTAGAGGAAAGGTAAACAAATTGGCAGTTGCCACTAAAGGCAAAGCTCCAGCCACCCAAAAGAGGCCTGATAAGGATAAACCTGCTAAGGGGGATGGTATCAGCTGCTATGAATGTGGTCAATCTGGGCACTTAAAGCACAATTGTTCTTGATGGCCTAAGCCCCCAGGACTTTGTCCAATCTCTGGATTAAAAAGTCACTGAAAGTGATGGTGCGGCCTCTCCC